TGTCTGTAACTCTGCGTCTCAAATAAATAAATAAAATCTTCAAAAAAAAAAAAAAAAAAGCAGTATTCAAAGCAAGAAAATGTCAGGAACTTCTGCCACAGTCAACCTTCCAGGACCCTCTGCAGAAGCAGATGGCTGAAACCAAGACATCCAGGACCCTCTAAGACTATCTTGCAAATGCCCCATCTATCAGGTTACAAGGATAAAAGTACAGTTTCCCTATCACCATAGGAAAGGAAGAATTCTTGGGATGATCCCAGAGATTGCCACAAGGAGGCCAAGCACTTCCCCAAGCCCAGGCCAAATGAGCAAGGCTGAGACCATAAGACCTGCTAGGGGCAAAACAAAAGGCTCCAAAAAGTCAGTGTCCAGGCAAAGATTTTGCTCATACAAAGCAATTGTTTTGGGATGACCTAAACCAATGATCCTTAAGGTTTTTGTTTTTTTGTGGTTTTTCTGGCATGCAGGTAGAAAGGGAGGGCAGTAGAGAGCAGAAGGTATAGCAGGAGTCACAAAAAGCAATGGATTTGCTTTGTATAAAAATGCAAACACAAACAGAATTTTGCATACTACTTTGGAGAGTTCACAGACAAGCCAACAACTCCCTACAGGTCCATGAATTCTAAGATAAAAACCCTCAAACTCAGTAGGTACAAACCAAAGGTCAATGTTACCATAATAGTTAGACCTTCTTTTAAGTAGATGCCTGCCCTTTAAAATAAAGACAATCTTAGAATTAAAAAAAAGGAGACTCAAAACACAAAATTCCTTGTTCACAACAACAATGCAAGTATACCCAAAATATATTAAAACTTCAATTATTTGACAAAAAAAGCATATATTTTATCCATACAATTAGAGCACTAAACACCCCCTACAAGAATCTCTTTATAAAAAATAGAAAAATAAGAATCTCCTTGTATGCATTTAGAAAATTCAAATGTATATCCACCACTTTCTATATTCACGTGGACTCGTGTCCTAAAGTTTTCTGAAATTCTACTTCCCACCAAAATGTACATAGTACCCCCCAAAAATGTACCATCTCCTTCCCAGTTTTCCTGAATTTTTCAAATACTATCTTAGTATACAGAATTCTTCTGAAATAGTCAGCAGACAAAAGCACTATAAAGTCTGTTAAAAAATCAGGTTTTTCCTTGATAAAAGTGTTAGCCTTTCCTTAGGATCATATGGGAAAAAATGATCGCCCATTCGAAAATAAAAATCTCGCTTCCTCGGAATAGGAGCTATTTAAGTTCTATCACAAACACCGTTACAGATTCTAAAGGTCCCAGAATAGAACAACATAAAGAGTAAATGTAGGAGGAGGCACAGAATCACTAGTAAAGACCATAAAAACCCACAAATACAGGTACTACAGGCAAAAACATTTTCCTCTGGATTTAATGCACATAATTTAGTTCAGAAATGGGAACAAGGATGGATATTTTAAAATAACTCCATTTTACTACCTTCAGGACTTATAAGGAAGTAACAGAATTTCTCATGAGGGTATCAACGCCTCCACGACATGAGGTAAAGAAAAGAACATTCTGGCATGGAAAAAGTGACTGGTCCTCCCTCAGTACGTACCAGGCTGTACCTCAGCTCCCAAGTGCCCTGGAGGACCACTCCTACACTAGGGAGGCAAGAGTGCCCTCGCTGTGGCCCAACATCCATCTTCAGTGACAATTTTTGAAATGGAAAAGTAAAAACGACTCTTACGGAAGATATGCTAGTTAGCCTAGCACCATCCCATGAAAACATGACAGACGGCTCAAGCGTTTAAACACATCGTTAGAAAGTTGTTGGAGAAAAGAACATGTACTTTGGATCCAGGTAAACTGGGTTCAAACTCTGGCCTTCTGGCCTTGAGTAAGTTTCTTCATTTCTCTGAGCTGCAGTCCAGCCTCAGGAGGGAGCTATGAAACCAGGGCTAGTCGTTCCATCTCCGTAGCCCTACTACCTGGCTGACTGCTGGCCACACACTAGGCATTTAATCAAGGCAACGTGCTCCTTTTGCTCCCCTCGTAAGGATGGCCCATGCCACTGCAAATGAAAATGTTCTCAAGGGAACGGATATCTAAGCTTTAGCTATTATTCATGTATTTCAAAGAGTTTTCAAAGTAATAACCTGGTACAGGAGAACGCAGGCAGTCCCAAGGAATTTGCTACAGCTTTTCACTTAAATTGAACTATAGCCTTGTACAAGAGATGGAAGTATAAGAGAACCAATAAATATTTATTAAAAACAAAACTATTTCAAGTCTCACTATGCTGGGGGAAGGAGGGGAGATAATACAGGGAGTGAGAGAACAGTGTCTCAGCTGATTTGTGTACTGTCACTGTCCTATGCCATTTTGCTATTGTAAAAGATGTATTTGCAAGTAGAGTTTTTCCATCTCAAAACCTGACCAAAGGGGTGGAAAAGATATGTGGTCCATATTTGACTCCATTTGGTGGTTATCAATACCAAGTCTTTCTGTGAAAACTGAACATCATAGGCTTACACTGGGAACCAAGCCGGAGGTTGGGAATGTGATGGTTTAACACAGAACACTTAACCACAAACTCTGCTCAGAGCAAAGCCACACTTCCAAGAAAACAAAAAATTTTCTTTGAAACTTTTACAAACCAAAGAGATCTGCAAGACACAGTAGCCCAAGGGCCTGTTATTTCTGCTAAGTTCCCTGCAATACTGTAGCAAAATCACAAATAAGATATGGTTTCTGAAGAGATACCATTCTGCTTTGGATTTTTTGTCTTTTGGTTTGCTTTTTTTTTTTTTTTTTTTTTTTTTTTTTTTTTTTTTTTTGGTATTTGACTTACTTATAAGAAGGATAAACCAATAAACACAAAAAAACGACCTGCTACAGGATTTCCAGAAATGCAGTGGGGTTAGTTGTGGTTCTCCCACTTCACTTCTAACTGGTCTTTCAACTTCTCGCCTGGTCTGTCTGAAGTCCGTCTGTTGAGTTCACAGAACCTCAACTATACTAATAATAAATTTTAAAAATTACAAGGGCTATTTAAACGCTGCAGTAAAAGTGATTCTATTGACAGTGGCTGGTGCTAAAACAGAACAGTCAAATGTGAAAAGCAAGGAAACTGCAGAATTAAAAACCGTGACTCTGGAAGACTCACACCACACTGAGAGACAACTCTAATTTCACAACAGGTCTACATTTACTTTGTCCATGGCCAGATTTCATGAAGAACAGCAACACAATCTGGTTTACTATAAGGGAGATTCCAAGTCTAACAAAAATGGGTGGGGGTGGGAGATGTACACATTATATTTTAACAGTCTATTAATCAATAAAAAAATTTTAAACTCAAAAGAAATCATAATTCATCTACAAAACTTGCTCTCACACAGAAAGAACTTCAAAATTAATCATCTTCCCACTGCAGATTTCCCCAAGCCTTAGGGCTACAGTGATGCATTACTTATCTGAAACCACCTGCTCTAGTTGGCACAGACCATGTGACCCGACAATTCATGCCTCATCATTTTCTCATACATTGATCTCAAACCTTTCAGAGTTCAGAAAAACTCTGAGGTTCTGAACATGGTCTTCAATCTGGCTTACTGTGCACCCCACGGGGCAGACCCCCGAGAGTCAGATGGCTCACAATCAGCCTGGGGAGCCTCTGTCCAGATTTTTCCTAAGGCCACCTGCATACCCTCATGAAGTGAGGTTCTTACAGTGCACACCATTTGGGAAGTGACAGTCCTATCTCGGGCAACGTTCCAGACACCCTGAAAGCCGCAAACACTAAAAATGCTGTATTTCCTCTGTTTACTGGCCTGTTATACCAAAAACGAGTTTTCAGAAGGTGGGGGAACATGGCACCCACACAGCCCCAGAAAAAAGACACCCACAGATGCCAAAGACTCACTCGAAACCTTGGCCAGATTACTAATGGTGCATAAACCCTAATTTGGAGAACATGGGCCTACATGCTAAAAATTGAATTATGCTGCCTTATTAGATCCCACGGTGCTGAAACCAGTCACCTTAGTCATAACTGGAGCTAGGAATACTTTACGTACACAAATACAAAGTGCCTGCTTATGCGTTTTTAATTGGATCAAATCAAACCGAAGCTGCAAACAAACTCAAATTTCAATTATCTCAAGAGTGAGGGGATTTCCTAATAGCGTCTTAAAAAAAAACACAGACCTGCCAACGCTCCTGCCCCTCAGACAGGCACGTCCCTGGAAATTTGGGAGCTACCGACTCCGTTACTTCTAACGGCGAAGAAAACAAATACCCCGAAGGGGACAGATGCGGTCCCCCACCCCCAACCTCCGAGCTCAAACATGCAACCTAATAACGCACAAAACTTGGCAGCGGCGCCGCTGGACCCCTCCAGGGCTCCCATTTTCGGGGCGAGCGCGCGCTAGTGCGTAAGAAGGGGGCGGAGGGGCGCGCAGCCCGGGGACGCGCCGGGGCCCCCGCCCCTCCCGGAGCGGCAGCCTGGCACCAGCCCACCCTCCTCCACCCCTGCAAACAGACGCAGGACGCCGACAGAGCAACTTCTCCGCGGGGGCGGCGGCCGCAGCCCCCCGCGCCCCGGCGCTCGGGGGGTCCCTCAGCGGCCCGCCCCGCCGGGGCCCGCGCACGCCCCGCCCCCGCCCGCCGGGCCCGCGGCCGGGGTCCGCCGGACCCCCGCCCCTCGGCGCGGCCCGCAGCGGCGCGCTCCCAAGGACGGCGCCCGGCTCGAAGGTGGCCCGAGCGGCAGCGGGGCGCGGCGGCGGCGGCCAGCCCCTCGCCTCAGGCCGCAGGCCGCTGCCTGCTCTGCGCCAGGCCGCCCGCCCGCCGGCCCCGCTCGGACCCCAGCGCGGCCGGGCCTCGGAGCCGCCGCAGCCCCTCATCCAGGCTCCATTCATAGGGGCACCCCAGCCGGTCTGTCGGGGCGGGGCTGGGGGCCCGCGGACAAGGCCGGTCCGCCGAGGCCGGGAAGGAAAATAAAAAGTTAAGAGAAGAACTTACCTAAAATGGCTCCTGCAGCAGCCAAAATACAAACAGCTATTATTTGGTGAAGTTTAGCTCAGACACCCTGCAAGGACACCCTAACCCAGCTCGGGCCCGCCTTCCCTGCCGCGCCATTGGGCTTCGCCGGCCCAAAACACACCGTCATTGGACACCCTGGCTGTCTCTCAGGAAGAAGCCCATTTCAAGCTTGCTTGCAGGGACGAGTGATGGGCTCGCTCCATTGTGCTCGTATTTGCATGGATGTGATCGCGGCGCTGATTGGCCGGCTCCGGGGCTGCCCCGCCCCCTGCCTCGCGCCCCCCGCTTCGGAGACGCCGCTGCGCGCGGCCCCGCCCCCTGGGACGGAGCGGCAGGGCCACGGGGGCGGGGCAGGGCCGGGGTCCCGCGGGCGCAGGGGGCGGGGTTCTGCACGCCGCAGACCGCAGGCAGGGGGCGGGTACCCGGGGCGCGCGCGGGCAGGGTGGGGGACGGAGCTCTAACCCGCAGGTGGAGGTCTCGCAGGTAGCGAGCCAACGATCTGGCTGCCCCCGGGCTGGCCAGGTGCAGGAGCGGATTGTTGCTGGGGTCCCGCGACGGAGGGGTTCCGCTGGGGCCGAGGTCGCGCGGACAGAGGCGAGGAGCGGCGAGGGTCCTACAGGTCAGGAAAAGCCGATGCGGGGAGGCCCAGCGAGGACGGGAGCCAGGCATCTGCGCCTGGGGCCGCCTGCTGCTTGCTGCTCCGCCTGGCTCCCTGGCTCTCACGCGCTGCTTCCCCAGGCCTCGCACCCCCGGGAGTTTCCACCCGCTGGAAAGACCTCTGTGAAATGAGGCGTCGAGCTGCGGCGTGTTTGTCCCCGGGCCTATTCCCGTGCTATCCTTGCAGCCTCCTCAAGGACGGGGCCCAGCAAATGGCAGAGATGCAACTGATTGTTATTCGCATGTTCTTTTATTCGTTCCTTAGCAGCGAATTCGTGAGCGCCCACTCAATGCTAGACGTTGATTGAAACAGGGGATACGGTGGTCAGTAGGACAAAGCCCTTGCCCTCTTGCAGTAGGTCAGAGAAAGGCAGTAAATAAATACACGGGGCAGGTAGAGATAAATGCCATAGAGAAAATAGATGGAGGAAGGAGGGGAAATGAGACCAGCGATGGGGAGAAGCGATTCCAAAGGAATCAGCCTTGCCTGGCTGAATACTCCGTATGGCAGCGCAGTGCTGCCCCTCCCCCCCGCACCCCAGGCCTTGGCACCCATCAAAAATGCTGTCTGGGGTCTGACTGCAGAGGCCCATTTTCCCCCATTTAAAGCAGGATGATGATTCCAAGAGCAGCTCATCCAGTGCATTTAGGATGAGCGTGGTTGGACTGTCTCAACAGTAACTACAATGATAGAACAGAGCCCGCTGCCTCCCCGAAATTCCGCTTTTCCTGAAGCTTTCAGCCTGTGGTCCTTACTCTTTTCTGGATACCAGTTCTTCACTTCTTGGCAGGCACTGAAGATGTGTCCAGTTAAAAGTACTGCCCCCACCCCTCATCCCCCGCCACTCATCTGTCTCTTCTGGGCACATTTCTGTCATTTGACGCAAGGTTGGCCAAGTCTCATGGTTCATCATTCCTCCTCTTCCTTCCTTCCTCAAACTAATACTTATGAAGTACCAACTATGTTCCAGATACGGTTCTAGGCACAAGAGGTACAGCATTGAATAGACAATCAAGCAGAGGGACAAGGTGGGTGAGTATACTGACAGGTGCCTGTCTTCCCTGCCCGGCTGCCTCAAGGGACAGCTTAGCTGACCTCTTACACCTGAGGCAGGATCAGGCAACTGGTAGTCAAAGCTGCTCTGGGCCAAACATCAGGACCAAGACTGCCAGAGCTCAGAACAGCCCTCGTGGGGCTCAGGTCTATACACTTTCCGTGTCCACAAGACTTGTAACAGAGACAGACTTGATGGGTCCTACATGGGATTCAAGTGGCCCTCCCTTAGCATGATGAAGTCCCCTGCCCATAAAAGTTGAAATAATATGCACTTCAAGATGGGAAATGGTGGGCCAGTGCCGCGGCTCAATAGGCTAATCCTCCGCCTTGCGGCGCTGGCACACCAGGTTCTAGTCCCAGTCGGGGCGCCGGATTCTGTCCCGGTTGCTCCTCTTCCAGGCCAGCTCTCTGCAGTGGCCAGGCAGTGCAGTGGAGGATGGCCCAAGCACTTGGGCCCTGCACCCCATGGGAGACCAGGAGAAGTACCTGGCTCCTGCCTTCAGATCAGCGCAGTGCGCCTGCCGCAGCGCACCGGCCCGCGCCGGCCATTGGAGGGTGAACCAACGGCAAAGGAAGACCTTTCTCTCTGTTTCTCTCTCTCACTGTCCACTCTGCCTGTCAAAAAAAAAAAAAAAAAAATAGGCGTTGTCATGCAGGGGGTTCAGCTACTCCTTGGGATGGCCACATCCCATGGTTCCAGTCCTGGTTACTTCACTTCCAATTCACCTTACTGCTAAAGTGATCCTGGGGAGGCAGCAGGCAGCCACACACGTGGTTGAGTCTCTGCCAGCTATGGAGTTCCAGGCTCCTGGAATTAGCGTGGCCCAGCCCTGGCTGTGCTGGCATTTGAAGAGTATACCAGCAGATAGAAGACTGTGCGTGTGTGTGCATGTGTTTCTCGTTGCTTTTCAAATAGAAAAGGGAAATCCATGCCTAGTTTTTTCATAGTATGCATTTCTATGAACGTTTGAAGATCTCTCTTAAGAAATGCGGGAGAAATGGGACACTAGACAGAGGAAGAAGCATGTATGTCTTTTTTTTTTTAAAGATTTTATTTATTTATTTGAAAGAGTTACACAGAAAGAGAAGGAGAGGCAGAGAGAGAGAGAGAGATCTTCCATCCGCTGGTTCACTCCCTAATTGGCCGCCATGGCCAGAGATGCGCCAATCCGAAGCCAGGAGCCAAGAGCTTCCTCTGGGTCTTGCCATGCAGGTGCAGGGGCCCAAGGACTTGGGCCATCTTCTACTGCTTTCCCAGGCCATAGCAGAGAGCTGGATCGGAAGTGGAGCAGCTGGGACTCGAACTGGCGCCCAAATGGGAAGGCAGCTCTGCAGGCAGAGGCTTTACCCACTACGCCACTGCACCAGCCCCGAAGCATGTATGTCCTTTGCACAGAGGTAAGAGACCATCTGGGGAGGTGAGGGAGCGGGAGGGAGAGGGAAGTTCGACTTGTTAGCAGTCACTGTTCTCAAACATTGAGAAAAGTCAGTAGCACCTAAGAAGTTAAACACAGACACACAATGCTGGGTCAACCAAAAAGAAATCAGTAGGGGTCTGTGATTGATTCACAGACGAGTGGGCCAGAAAGGGCAAAGGAAGGGTCTGGAGGCTACAGCAGAGGCAGCAGGCTTGACCTTGGAAGACTCAGGTTTGCAGAACAGAGAGGGGTTAGTGGAATCTGACTCTCAGAGCACTTCAGCGGTGCCTGTGGCCTGTGGGGAGGCTCTGGAGGGGAAAGAAGCAGCTGCATTGTTTTTAGCCATAGCCATTTATGGTAATGTCTTGGCTCTGCATTCTCCGGGAGCAGAGACTGATTGTTTAGGGCAAGTGTGGGGCAAAAGGAGTAAGGTTGGAAAGAAGGAAGTGTCAATACCAGGGTGATTATTAATCTGGGCTCCATTAAGTATGGCTGATTGCTTCTGCTCCAGGGATTATCCTCTGAGAAGCCATGTTAAATGAGTCACAGTATGGCCTCTGGGACGGGGAAGGGAAGGGAACTTATCCACCCTCTCATCACCTGTTGGAGAAAGATTCATACCCAGGAGTTCAGGCCTTAGTGCATCCCAAAACTCGATGTCAACAGAGAGCCTGGCAAGAGGCACTCGGCAGGGCCATGAGGCAAGATGCTATCAGAGTGCAGTTGTGTAAAGTCAGATGGAGGCCATGCAGAGCTGGCGGCCACGGCAGCCACTGGACGAGAGGTAGCTGATGCTACAAGGCTCTGAAAGTCTGCTCAGGGGTGATGCCTGTGCTGCATGCATTTCTGTACTGTATAGTATGTTCCCATTTCCACAGGGCCCCAGAAGAACAACCCTCAAGGGCTCTGAAAGGAGCCACAGAAAAGCTTCCTGTACTTCTAGAACTTTCTGAGACCAATTCCACAAACACAAGTCACATCCTGCCTGACTGGTTCTCTTGCTTTCCTGCCTCTATTCATTTCTCTGATTCTTTCAGTAGACTGTAAGCTTCTTTTTAAAAAAAATTTTTTAAATCTATTTGACAGGTAGAGTTATAGACAGTGAGAGAGAGAGACAGAGAGAAAGGTCTTCTCTCCGTTGTCTCACCCCCCAAACCGGCCGCCACAGCCGGCGCTGCACCAGTCCGAAGCCTGGAGCCAGGTGCCTCCTCCTGGTCTCCCATGCGGATGCAGGGCCCAAGGACCTGGGCCATCCTCCACTGCCCTCCCAGGCCACAGCAGAGAGCTGGCCTGGAAGAGGAGCAACCGGGACCAGAACCCGGCGCCCACACGGGATGCCGGCGCCGCAGGCGGAGGATTAGCCAAGTGAGCCATGGCGCTGGCCCCTGTAAGCTTCTTTATCATTCTTATTTATAAATCTGTGGCAGGAAGAAAAAAAGGCTATTTTCACTAGCCCATTTCATTTCCCTCCTAAGATCATAGCAAAATTACATTACTCAGTCATCATCAGGTGGGCCTGTAATGAATCTGGACAGAAGTGATGCGTGTATCCCATCTCTGGGATTCCCCTACAAAATCCCGTCTAACCCTCCAAACTCCCTGCCTGTCCTCATCTGTTGGCCAGATACAAAAACATCTAGGAGAGGACCCAAAGGCCTCGGGAAATGGCGATGGCGAGAGCCTGCGTCCCTGACTGGCTGCGTGGAGCGGAACACCCATGCTCACCTGCACAGACTAGGCTATGAGCAAGAAATAAGCTGACACAGTGTCAAGTCACTGAGATGTGAAGCTGCTACAGCTGTGGGCATGCCCTGACTATGATAGTATTTGTTTTACTTTCATTCCATGTCCCTCCAGGGCAGGCATTGTGTTTTCAACTCAAGCAATCACGCAATGCCTGTCACATAGTAGGTGGTGCTCCATGTATAAATGAACATGAATAAGCTGGTTCCTGAGCCTGGACTGAAAGGATTAGACATAGAATGCCAGGCAAAG